CATACAGCATGCAGATTACTAGTTAAGAAACAATTGCCCAATCACAATTGCTTCTGTCGATCCTTTCTTGGTAGAGATAATCCTGCTCGCATGTATTGAACCTATATTGATTTATTCGTACACTCCTACTTCTACGTATGGTGCCAGCTTCAACACGACAATAGATATGACACCTCTAGCTACCCTTACCTACCTCGCATGGGGTTGCTGTCTGCAAGCAAGCAATGCCATGGCCGGCCGCATCTACGGTACACGCCTGTGGCATTACCCTCATACCAGCATGCCAGTTTAGATACTGCTCAATGCTACCACCCGTCAAACCATCAATATTTCCTATTGGCGCCCGGCCTCTATCGCTCATATTGTGGCTTAAGCACCTGTAGCATCATCACCAACATGAATAGTGCCATTCTTGAAATCGTACGTCGTATACGTATACGTACATAGAGAGGCCCAAAGTCGTTTCATTCATCTGACCCCATTCTCGCCCCCTTCAGTGCTGAATCGTTTATCACCTTCTGTAACAAGTTCCTCCTCTCTTTCCTGACTCCACCATCCTTCGAACCCTTTCTCCATTTCATACCATTTCCATATATTATATTCTTTCCTTACCAGGGTTCTTCGAATTCCGTCTATCCTGGGCTGTGCAGAACCAACGTGCTGGGATGCTGGCTTCCCCATCCTTAAGTCACTCCCTTTCTCATAGGTTAGTTTGATCAGTCTCTTAAAACCATATATCCCAGCTCGTAGCCACGAGGACTGGCCTCTTGAGACCTCTTCTCACTTTTTGCTCTCCATCGAACATAATCGGCGAAGCCTGTAGATCTCTAGAGTAGTCTCTGACGATCAAAGGATGCAATGTACTTCACCCACAAAACAACACCAGAACGGAGGCTGGTTATATGATAATATCGTATACTGACAGCCCCCTAAGATAATTTCGAGTAGAATGGCTTTTGAGTCTCTGGCTCGTTGCCTCTTACTATGGATTGCCCTTTCAGCCAGCGTCACCGCCGGCGCAAAGCTTGGTAGCGATATCGCGGCCTTAGTACCGACATGTGCTCAGCCCTGTTTGGAGTCGTTCGTAGTAGCCAACTACCCATCGACAGACTGCACGCAGAACCCGACGTTACAATGCATGTGCTCAGAGCAATCGCATTCGGGATACACGATCGGGGAGGGAGCATTACAATGTATTAGTACCGAAGCACAACGTGGAATATGTGATAAGAAGGACATCGCTGGTAAGTACACCAAGTTTCTTCTGGGTTATACGATATCTACAGATATTAACATCGACAATAGGTTCTGTTAAGCGCGATGCCTATCTTATGTGCTCTAAAGTGCCAAATGCGCTACCGAACACGCATGCTGTCCTGACGGCCACAATCGCAAACTCCCCAACTGGAGTGCCAGCGTCGATAGTCGTTCCCTCACCAACTCAAACCGGATCGACGACCGAGGCTGCTTCCTCATCACCCGACTCATCAAACTCTCTCGCGGGCGGTCAAATTGCTGGAATTATTATTGGCGTCATCATCGCCATAATAATTATAATAGCTGCTATTTTCTTTGTCAGACGCATGCGCGGCCGGAAGTATCAAGGGCTTAAGAACGGAACTCCCGATATGGCGGAGAAGGGCAGAGTTGAGACCCCCGATTCGGGGAACTTCATGTCGCCGCCGTCCCGTAGTTTTACGGATCTTGAACTGCCACCCCAGCTACCGCAATATCGCACAGCATCGCCGCTGTTCCCTGCCTCTCCTATGCCACCTCGTACTCCACCTAGACTTCCCTCGCCTAGCCCTTTCCTTTCACCAACCCCTAGTCAAGAGTCCTTTGGGCTCAGCATCTCACGCTCTTTAAGCTCAACCCCTGCTTCGATGTCGTCCCAGGTTCCAGTTAATAGGCCAATATCAAAACTCCTCCCCGCCAAGCCGACTATGGACTTAACAGCTCCTCCTCGACCTCCCCCTCCACCAAAAGATCTATTCAAGCCGGTCGCAGTATTGTCTCGAGAGTCATCTGCACGTACACAACAGACCAACAAGACCAGTCTCCTAACAAATATGACAGGAGTAACACCTGCGTATATCACTGATAAATTTGGAAACTGGGTGCGGAACAATAAACACCGCCAATCTGATCAGCGGCAGGTCGCAATGGTTGCAGAACTCGACACATATACCCCCATGACGATGGCACCAATAGAAAAAAGAGAGGGGGAGACCGAGACTATCTCGGCAGCAGTCTCAGCTGCCTATGGAATTCCTAACAAGCCACCATCAGCTTTCTTATCTAAAAAGCGTTCTACTAAAAGGCGCCAACGCTCTTCCAGCGTGTATTCACAAGCTAGTTTAGCTCGCCGTACTCGTTTGATGTCTTATGGTGGACATGGGATCCAGCGCGGCCGATCTGATACGTCTTTATCTGACGACTCTTTTACAACAATCAACTCCTATTCGACGAATTCAGTAGATGATGAAGTTGACGGAGTTGATGGGACTCATTTGTCACACCCCCCAACACCCAGAGATGTAACACGTACCCCTACCCCTGAGCTTGCTCAAGCCAAATACGTCAATGTGTCAGGACGCCTCAACCGAGCTTTGCTTCAAATCGACCCTACCAATAGGGCCTCGTTTTCAAACTCGCCTCCTGGCCAGCCTAGCCCGACGTTGAAGGGCGACGCTATCCTTTTGAAAGGTGGCAACTCACCTTATCCCAAACCCTTACAACCTAAGCGTCAAGACAGCGCTCAGACGTCAAAAACAAGCCTAGTTAGCGAGACGGAGTTGGTGCGGCCTCCACGGCTCGACGACACGCGACCATCGATTCAGAGTCCGCTATCCCGTTTCTCACCACGGTTACCCAATGATGAGGCTTGGTTCCCAGATAGGCTTCAAACACCCCCAGCGCAAATCCCCGGGACAGAAGCCTCACCTAGTCCTTTGGGATTTGATAGACACCGAACGCCATCTCCTATGTCATCGCGATCAGGCTCGGGGGACCAACCTCGTCCACATATAGCACGTGCGGTCTCGCCTTTGAGCCAGGCACAAACAAACCAAAGCAACGCGGGTACTAGCTCATTATTAGCAAAACGCCTTGGAAACGGCAAGGCGGTAGAACTCGCGCTTGGTCCTAAGAATAATAAATTAAGCCCGCCCTCTCCTAAGGGTTCCCTTCCGGCTACACCAACGTGGCAGCCGAAGCTGACTCCTACGAGACATGGCGACGACCTGTACCTCAGTGTGCAGTAGAGGCGACGCCTGCTACTTAGTTAAGAAGTAACGTCTTCTTAATGTTTCATTTAGTCGACGTGTTTCTTTCTCGTCTCCTACGTCTCATTACATTAGAGGACATTGTACATTCATCGCATCGCATATATATATATATATACCCACGGGCAACGTCAACTGAACGAATTTTCTTTTCTTCCATTGCTGCCATGGCGGCCTTGTATTACTACTTTTTTTTACGCCTGCGGGCACTCATACTTGCATATACAATGCGGCGTTCTAGGACTTTGTCTTCATTTTTATTATTAAGCATTAGAGAGAATCTTTTTTCCCCTTTCTATTCGGAGTTCAGGGATACAAAATATAGGACTAGAAGGAGAGATAGGGATCAATATCCAACCATACCCAGCGTATGGGACACTCTCATTGCATCGTTCAATCATAACTGTTTTGTATGTATTATATCCAGCCTACACGGCTCAAGATTGAAGCTAGCTTAGCATAGCGCCTCGAGTTGATAGACTCGAGAAGATGGATTAAAAATCTTGCTGAATCATGAGTTGGTTATTGCCATATGTTGTGAATTGACTTAAGACGTATGAATGTGACTAGGTTACACCCTTATGATTATACCCGTAATACTCTTTAATTTCTTCAACTTTTAACAATGCCCTACCACTTTCTTACCCCCAATATAATACCCGTCGAATAATATGATACGATGAACGTATCTACCCCGAGCTCTCTTGAGGTTAGGCTAGGCTAGGCTAGGCTTAGATGAGTATTACACGACGACGTGTCTCAATGTATTAAGCTGTCAGTTATCAACTTTCGGCATTCTCGGACCTCCACAGCCCTCTTCGCACCTGCAGTAACATTCGGGATCCAAGCATTCCCCGGGGGCGGCCCGGGAAAAATGGAGAATCTCCAGTGTGAAGTGGGGCTTAGCTCGGCATTCTGGCCCCACATCGAAATTTTCTCCATAGAAATTCTCTAAAAAAGAAAATAAGTTATTTCAATCTTTCGTCTCCTGTCGTGCAACTCGACCTCTCATCTCCCAACAAGAACAGAGTCGGGGAAGAGATCCGGATCGTGCACTGCCACCCCCAAACCAAATACACGTCAATTACTGCGGTAGCGACGACGAAAATACCTTCCATTTGAGCGTCAGCTTGGCACGTATTGGTGTTCTTACAATTTGTGTGAACCGGGAAGCGGCATCGGAGGCTTTGCAATAGAATAGAACGGAAGTGCAGATTCCCGCCGAGGCTAGGTATATCAGATCAGATCATAGCACAGCAGACCAGATCCCGATAAACTCACCACACGCCCTCTACTCGCGTATTCCTTCCCTGCCTACCTAACCTATCCAAGCCAACGTCATCATCCACCGATACCCCCCCCCCATCCAAAGACTGGACCAGACCAGACCAGACCAGACCAGACCAGACCGGCCGGCCGAACAACGAAAAGAAAAAGAAAAAATGGCCCAAGGCGCCGTCAAACCCAAAAAGTCCAGCGCGCCCGCGTCCTCGGGCAGGAAAGCCAAGCCGCAGCCCCCGAAGTCGTCGAAAGGCGCGCGCGTGTCCAAGGCGAAAAACGCCTCGTCGGCGGATAAGCTGCAGCGGCGGCTTGCGGCGGGGCTGGTCGCGAAGACGGAGAAGTTGTTGGGGGAGCGCGCGGGACATCTGGAGCTGATTGGGAAGGGGAGGGTGAAGGATAAGGACGGGAGGGATAAGGATGGGAAGGGGACGGCGAAGGGGGGGAGTCGGAAGTTTGGCTGAGGGGGGATGGGGGTGAGATGAGAAGGGAATGCATGCCATGGAGCTGCTGCTATGATGGCTGGTGGACTGATGTTGCAGTAAAATCTGCCGTCTGCGGTTTGCAGTCCGCTCGCTGGACGATTCAACGGTTACCACGGCGAGTTAGAATGCTAGTTCGCAAACGACGAGCATACCACCTCATAGGATACGGACAGGTCTGTTGAAGACTACGACATGGAGTCTGTTTGTCTGTCCTTAGTACAATCTCTCAGTAGGAGATAATCTTCGAGATCTTTTACGACATGTTACTTAGGTACGGACGAGTATTCTCAATATTACGATAAGAGAAATACTTCAAGACGAAGTCTAAATTAGGGTCACTGAACTATAGTATTCTCTTGCTACCAACTTGAAGTTGGTCTGGGAAGACTATTTAGGAGACTCGTCAACTAGCAAGGTCAATAAATGAAATAAAAAAAGAGATTTTGCCATTGTCTCTAAAGGACCCTCTTAACAAGCATACAAGTCTATTTAGTTTAACCCAACTCGTACTATTCATCCTAGATATTCATATACTACCCCCGTCCTTCCACTCCTTCGCTATCCCAGCCAGTCTATCCTTCACAAACGCCAAATCCTCGTCGACATTAACCCGCCAACTCGCCACCGCAATACGGCACGCAGGCTGTCCCTCCCACTTCGTCCCGCTAACGTACCAATCCCCCGATGCTTGAATCTTTTCAACCAACGTAGCATTCAGCCCCGGGTCACGCGCGCGGAACAGTACCACAATATGCGTGTTCTCCTCCTCCTCCTCCTCCCCCGTCCGCTTCTGCTCCGCCGTAAGAGCGGGCAGTAATTCGTAGTCTCCGCTCAGCTCGCCGCCGCGCGCGATAGCCCCGGCGATCCCCCGCGCTAGCCGCACCATGCGCGCCAGCATGTCAGCTACGCCCGCGGCGCCCTCGCTTAGGAGCACCGCGTACACGGGCAGCGCGCGGAAGCGGCGCGAGTTCTCGAGGCCGATGTTTAGGGGGCTGGGGATGGCGGGGCCGGAGGACGGGGCCGGCGTCGAGAGGTAGACTGCGTTGGGGTTTTGGAAGACGGCTTGCGGGGTGTGGGAGGAGCGGGTGAAGAATATGCCGGTGTCGTAGGGCTGGGGCTTGTTAGCGGTTGTGGGTTTAGGTAGGATGGGAGGGATATAGGGGGGGATATATAAGACGTACGACGTTAAGAAGCTTGTGCCCGTCCACGGTAATGCTATCCGCGAGCTCGAGGCCGGCCGTGAATTCCCGGAGCCGAGCAAACTCGCTTGTTGCTGGGAGGGCGCGGGCAAAGATGCCGAATGCTAGACATTTCCAGACATTAGTTATCCCAACACATGTGTGTATATATATGAGCAGCATACATACCGCCATCAACATGTATCCAAGCCTTGTACTTATCAGCCAAGTCCCGTAGCCGCCGCATCTCCTCGAAACCAGTCGTCGCAAACCTCCCCGTATTAACCTCACCCGCACTAACAGCCACAATACTAGCAACCCCTTCGCGCTGCAACTCCCTCTCCACGGCATCCAAGTCCAACCTCCATGGCTCAGCCTCGCTATACCGCAACTCCCTAACCGCGCTCCGTCCTAGCCCCACAATCGACGCCGCTTTCGATAGCGAGCTGTGGCCCATACTCGTCAGGACCTGAATCTCTCTAACGCCCGCGGCAGCACACGCACCCAGCAGTCCCAACTCGCCCACCCCACCACCACCATCTGCGCCTGCAGCCGGCAAGCGCGCGCTCACCACAGCTTCGCGCGCACACGCCAACCCCAGGACATTGCTCGCCGTCGCGCCCGTCGTAAACGTGCGGCCGGCCCAGCCCTCCCCACCTCCGCCATCCAAGCCCAGCAGCCGCAGCAGCAACCGCAACGCGGCATCCTCGACCTCGGTCGCTATGCTCTGGCCCGGCAGATGCACCTGCAGGCTGTTGTCGAGCGCCGAGACCAGGTTATCCGCGGCCTCGGCAACCGGCAGCGTCGCCCCGGTCACGAACCCGTAGTACCGGCCGCTGCGGTTGTGGCCGGCGAGCGCGGGCGCGATGTCCGCTGTTAGGTGCGCGAGGGTGGCGGCGGGGCCGCGGCCGGAGAGGGCCGCGGGGTTGGACGGGGTGGGGATGCTGGAGCGCGCGGTGGAGAGGGTTGAGGCGGAGGGAAGGGTTGGTGCGGATGTGGAGGGGGGGACGGCGGCGACGGAGCGGATGAGGGTGTAGGAGGTGCTGAGGAAGGATTCTGTGTCCATTTGTGGGGGGTGGGGGAGGTTGGATGCCTCGGTTGTAGGAGGGTGGTTTATGTTTGTATGCTATATTATATTGTGACCTAGGAGAGTCTTGTAGATGGTTGTCTTAGATATATGGCACTCCGCGAATATGTAAGTGGTTAAGTTAATGTGTGAATAGCGAAGAAGAATGCCAAGCGAGCTAGAATAAGTCACAACTCATGAGATTGAGAGTATTCGAAGCAAATCAGACCAGCTCGAGATGAAATGAGTCTAAGATCGAAATTCTAGATTTTATATTCGTTGGCTCAGAAATTATGTGATGGGTGCCGGTCTATCGATCGCAAAGTATTACCTTTAACGCAGATGGTTTAAAGACGCCAAGTTAGGCTCACCGTCTAAATCTTACGCTTCAAGTTTTCATTTGTAATTCAGCGCTTATGAAGAATCTAGGAGCATTGAAAGACCTTGGGCTTGGGCCGCTTCTTGTGGTAGAAAATAAGTTGTGATGTTATTGGACGAGTGCGGGGTGTATATCATGTAACGTCTATACTCCTACTTATCGTTCTAGGTAGACTTTGTTAAACTGAAGTAGCCGCCTAAAGATTCTCACAGGTGTGATCAAGCCCTACTGATGGTTCTAAATATGGGCGACTACTCACACCATAGTTTTATAACACACTGGCTATCATCATATGTCAGAAATAGCAATACTTATAAGCCAGGAAGCGAAAAAAAAAATAGTAAGAAAGGAGCTGAGGCTCGTGGCACAATGCTCAACTACAATCGTTCGGAATATAACTCATGATGATAAGCGATATTGACATGCTTAATTTCTCAATAGTTCATTCCCTGCTAGATCGAGAAGACATTCATCTCATCGTCTCTAAACCGTCGTTAAGCCTTCCTCACTAGCCAGGCCAATTCTTCCACCTTCTCGGGGCTAACCAGCTTTCGAAACTCTTCTGTATTCAAGAAGTCATGATCACAGAATTCGAAACCCGGAACGACCGTTTCTGATATCAAAAGTCCGCCACTAGCCTTCTCACTACCGCTAGCATTATCCGGAAGTAAGAAGCTAGCTTTGAACTTGCCTCCCTCGACGATCCACTGTAGCTTCTCGCCGTTAGCGACGTCCGGACCGACGGTGAATGTCTCGATTCTCTTCCCGCCTCCGGGGAGATCGGGCTCGTCGGCATGCATCAAAACGTACACGCCGCGGCCGCGATGTAAGGTATGTACGGTTCTTCCCCGATTCCGGTGAAAATTGCCTTGAGGCGACTGGGGAGTCAGGTAGTAGAATATGGAGGTCGAGGCATTGCGGTAAGCCGGGTCGAAGCCAGGTCTCTGTGGCACAAGAGATGATGCTGGAGTTGGGGGGAAGGGGGAAGGTATGAGAAGAGGATCACGCTAGCCAGGGGTTTTCGTTAGTTGCTGCTTAAGACGAAGGGTTCGTCGTGAGAGAAGGTCAGAGGTCAGAGAGCAAATTGGGATATGGAATAAGCCGAGAGGTCGCAAATAACTTCAACAGTTATCCGTCATTGCTTGAGATATCGCTATTTCGAGACATTCGAGACACCTACATCTGTTTCGACGAAATATCCACCTTCGATATGAGGTTCCAGCGAAAGTGCCTTAATAATGGCTTGAGTAGATGGAGGCTCAGAAGCGGCCGATGGAAGACCCGCGGGAAACGACGGCTTGAGTTCTATGCCCGACATGACTGTTTCCAAGAAGTCCCAGCATAGACGAAGGTATCACATAGGTAGTATGTAAGGAGTTCATAGTGACATGACAGCATCGAGTGCGTGTCGAGCTATAATATATCCAACCCGATGGAACGGGCACACCGCCGAGAGCGTGAACGAGACCCATGTCTCGGTCCATATGCCTTGTCATCATCTTGATAAGCCCTAGAGCTCTAATTCCCCGTCTTTACGAGATAAGTCTAAGGCCTTGCGTACATATAAATGGGAAGTGTAAGCACGAAATACGCTTAAAATAAGGGGAATGCCTATATGTACATGCCCAGCAACAGGGCTTAATGGACAGCTGTTTGACATCTGGTTGCAGGCTGTTAATGTTGAATAAAGATCCAATTGAAGGGTAGCGAGAAACGGATTCGGGCTGTTAGGCTTATTTTGAAGTGGAGTAGTGTAAGTGGATTAGGTATGAGTGGGCGCTGTAACTATGTACATACACTAATACAAGTACCTAACCTAGGTAGGTAAGCTACCTAAGTTCAGCTCGGCTAGGCGTTAGAATGGTTTAAACCACCTAGGTTAGGTAACCTAAGGTTAAGTGCTTTCCCGATTTCCCTCCTTTATTTTTTGTGGGGTCGTTAAGATCCAGACCCCGACCTTAAGCCCTTAAGCTCCGTCCTTAGGCCCCGTCGATCCTTTCTTCAATCTTCATACTTCGTTTGGAGTCGAAAATGACCTAGGACGCACTCTTTCTCCGGTTTCCTTTTTTGTCTTCTTCTTCCTCTTCTGTTTCTTGAGCTTCTTGAGCTTCTTGAACTTGAATTGTCGAGAGATTTCATTCGTATCGGCATGCATGTTTGTACATGCTACGCTCATTTTTATATCTGACAACTCTCAAACCACAATGCTCAGTTCCAGCTGATAAAGGCCCAATCCGAATTGAGGAAGAAATAACCCCCTGTCCTATATCTAACAGCGACATACCCTCCTTCGGCTTCAGTCGTCTCCCAGCCTCCACGCGAATTTCCTATTTTGTTGTTTGTCGGAAACCCATCTTTTTCTTTCAGCCGCGCGCCGTTGCAACTAGACTCGTACTCGTACTCGACCGATGCTCACGAGGGCATCCATTTCTAATTCAATCAGCGAGCGCAAATATGTCTGGGCTTATGAGCAAACGCCAACAGGCGCGAAATGAGAAGGTCTTGCAGGATCTTGTACATAATGTACCAGGAAATAATTTTTGCGCCGATTGTCAAGCAAGAAATCCATGTATGTGCTACCCGCAGAAGCTAATTCCCTTTCATATCTACATTACAGAATCGAACTTACAGAGCTAACTTACGTCTTCTAGCTTGGGCATCATGGAATGTACGTATTCGAGGCCTCCTCCGTCACTACCACCGTAGATTTTTTTAGTCGCCATCTAAATTATTTACACCCAACAAAATCGACACGAACTCGATGCTAATATAGTTACAGCTTGGTGTTTTTCTCTGCATGCGATGCGCCGCCATCCATCGCAAATTAGGCACTCATATATCCAAAGTTAAATCCCTCAGTATGGACAGCTGGTCCAACGATCAAGTCGAAGTACGAATCACCTAGAAGCTCCCAGAGATGGGGTTTGCTCAGTCTTGACTAACTACATTAGTAGAGTATGAAGCGAGTAGGAAACGACGCGTCAAACAAGATTTATAATCCTCAGAATAAGAAGCCGCCGGTACCTATCGATGCTGACGAAGCTGATTCCGCCATGGAGCGATTTATACGGGCCAAGTATGTGCAACAGAAGGCTGTAAATGGTACGAAAAAGCATAACACGGGAAGCTCAGACGAAGGTACTCCGCCGCCGCTACCGCCTAAGACCGGTAGTCGTTTCTTCTCCTTTCGGTCCAAGAAGGACACGCGTCCACGCGAAAGCGTTTTCGGCGTCCACGACCCTCCACGCAGCCCTGACCAGTCGCGCAACAAAGCTCCCAAGGTCTTTGGAGCTAGTGTGCATCAAGACACCCCGGAGGATATGGCACATAAGTTAACACAGCTAAGGGATATGGGATTTACGGACGACAAACGCAACGCTATGATTTTAAAGGGTGTCAATGGCAATCTTGAAAAGACAATAGAAGCTTTAGTACGGCTAGGAGAAGGTGGAGGAGGACCCCCGTTGTCTATACCAAGTCGTGACAGTTCTATACCTCCTCCAACCTCTAGATCGTTAACACCTCAACCTTTGACGCCGAGAACCGCGCCCTCGATCGGGCTGTCGAAGTCTAGTCCACCGACAGCACGGAGTCCAGCTAGCACCGCGTCAAACAACCCGTGGGACATACAACCGGCTCAACCCCAGTCGTCGCAGTCGACAGGAACTTTGCAGAACAGGAACCCCTTTTATGCTTCGAATCCATTTGGGATGCCGAACCAGCAGGCTGATTTTAACTTGAACCAGAGCATGCAGAACCTGAACTTGTCTATAGCACCGGCTCCTCAACAGGCACTCTTCCCACATCATACCGGGGGAGTACCGACTCCGCAGCCTATGTCGCAGTCTTTCTACTCGCAACCGATGACTCCACCAATTCCGCAAACACAGAGTTTTACACAGCCTTCGCTTGCCAGCAGCCAGAGCTATTTTCAGCTGCCCACACAGCAACCGCAAAGCTACAACCCGTTCCTACAAGCTCCTGCAAATCCGCAGCCCGCACTTTCGTTAAACACTTCCCCATTCCAGAACCAGGGCTCTCTTGCAAATAACCCTTTCGCTAGATCTCCTACTAGAGTCGTGTCGCCAACTCTAAACCGGATACCCGAACAGTCCCAACAGAATTTTTATAACTCATCCCACTCTGCGTATGCGAGTAACGCGAGCAACCCGTTCTTTACGACGAGTCAGCCTGTACAAGCGCCCGCTCCAGCCGTGACATCTCAGCCAACTCAACAAGCGTGGTACGAGCCGCAACCTCTTACACAGGTAGCAACTCAGCAGGTGTACCAGCAGCAGCAACCTCAAAGGCCTGATACCGCTTCAATCATGGCTCTATATAACTACCCTCACCTAGCCCCGGCTCGTCCGCAGGTACAAGATCAGAGTGCGTCTAGTACGCAGATAAACCAAACAACCCCTCTACCAGCACAGCCGCAGGTACCTCCGCAACAAAACACATCATCACCCTTAGCGGGAAGTAATAACCCTTTTATGCACAATGCAGCAACTCCTGTTCCAAACACAGCCGCGGCTCCATCGCCGTTCGCAGTGCCCAGTAATCCCAATACAGTTCCTTTAGGTGCCAGAAGCAGAGAGAGCATGACTCTTGGAATGGAGATGGCTTGGAATAACGGCCGACATAGTCCAGATGCGTTCGCCAGCCTGAGCGCGAGGAGCGGTTAATTAGATGCCCTGCACATACGTGTATATATAAAATAATAATCACAAGGTGTATCATATCAATGAAGAAAATTTAGAAAGTATATATCCCAACCGTTGTGCCCATGTTTTCCCATATACTACACCCGCTGTACGTATCTTTTCCGTGGCAAGCTACTTATGGATCTCTTTCAAGCTGAATTCCTCCCAAGGTATCTCCTCTAGGTTTTCGAAACCCTGTCCTTCGGTCCGGACCACTTCGCTCCAACCCCGGAGCAAGGCACGCCAGTAACACGTCTCTGCCGCGGGGCTGAAATATCCCCCGCCATCGAATAGCTCCCTCTGCCGCCGCGCAATGCCCTCGGCAATCTTGGAATGCCGTTCTAGCCACTCAACCGTAGTTTCGAGGTCACTCCAATCCGGCGCCACAAACACGATGTTAGCCTCCCCGGGATCGTACTCCTTCGGCCAAGCATCCTTCACCCACGGCGCCGGGTACGGCACCAATTTCCTACCACTATCAAGGGCAGTGCGCTCCACGCCCTCGAGCTGGTAACTAAAGACGGGCCGCGCAAGGTGCGTGACATGCTGCATCCAGGCGATTGGCGGTGCCAAAACCACACTGGCACATAACTGGTGGTACTGGAACCGCCCGCTGTACGTCACGCCCTCGGTGTGCACGATATATCGGTAGCGGCAGAAATCTTCAATCATCAAGGCGTTGCTGCCGTTCGCGGCGAGGGGCTCTACGTCGGCCCACGGCTTCCCGCGCGCGCTTAGGACTAGGTCGTGGCGCAGACGGCCGCCGGCACGCGGGCTGTTGAACCAGGTGGTGCCGCGCCAGACGGCGCGCGGGTCTTTGGAGCTCCAGGACGAGAACCGGGATTCGAGAACGGCGGCGGATCGAGCGGCGCGCGGGAAGGAGCGCACGCTGGAGATGGGCCAGGCGAAGAAACTGAAGTGCGGGATGGTGAAGAAGTGCTTGCTTGGGCCGTTGAAGGATGGGTCGGCGGGGCGCGAGTATGATAGGGAAGGCGAGGTTGGGTCGTCTTCGTGGTTGAAGGCTAGGATGGTGTCGGGGAGGGGCTCGGCGGGGGGGACCGTGAGGAGCGCGTTGGCGAGCTGGTGGAGGGTCGCGGAGCGGTGCTGCAGCATGTCTTCTGATAGGTCGACTTTGCGCGCGTAGGTCAGGACGTATAGGCGTCCGTCGCGGATGCGGAGGATGGTCGGGCCTCGGCCGTGCGGGTTCCGGCGGAGCGTGAAGGGGCCTTTGGAAACGACGTCGTCGATTTCTTTGGTCAGGCCCGGGAAGGCGGTTAGGCACTGCGCGGATGTGAGGATGCGGCTGTTGAGGAGGGCGGGTGGTAGCGGCGGTGGCTTGTCCTTCGGGTTGGAGTTGGCGGCGGAGTGTGGGTGGTGAATGGTATCGGCCGTAGCTGGTTGCGACGAGTCGAGGCTGTGGTCGGGTACCGGGAGGAAACAGTATAGCGCCAGGCAGATCACAGAGACGAGGACGATTTGTCGCAAGCGAGGGCCTGAGACGAGGGTTCGCCTGCTTGTTCGCATTGTCATCGCGCCCATTGCGAAGGCAGGTGGCCCATCTCAGGGGGTTTTCTTGTGTCTACTTTTGACTCTCTCGACTTGGATTCTCATTCGAGTTTGACATAGTATAATATAAGAGTCCGGTAACTAACTACTTAATCTACCTAACCTAACAACACTCAGATCTTGTAAGAATTGTGAACATCTAAGCTTTCCATGTAGTAGTAAGAGCAGGTAAAGAAACTCATCCTGAGAAAGCAAAGAGTGAGAAAATTATGAGATAGCAAGTCGCGCCCATATCTGCAGATCTGTTCAGAATAGCAGGCCGTCCGGGATATCTGGCTCCGAGAGCGTGTGGCATGCTATTCTAGGTATGTAGTATCGCAACTACGACGTCGGATCCTGGGGTTTTTCATGCAGGCCGCCATGGTACGGCGCCAATCAACTTATGCATAAACACCCCGGTTCGGTATGTACCTACATACCTAGGTTGTTTACCCCGGAAATACCTACGCTAGGTCAGATGGTATGTATACCTACCTATGTATATACATACGTATATAGCGAAGGGTTGAAGATCTAAAGTATGTACAGGATAACTGGTCAGGGTGGCTTAGTATTTAGATAGGCAGTACATGTGCTCTAGGTTAGGTACCTAACTTTCTGTTCTTTATCGACATTCAGTTACACGATGGCGTCTTTTTAGCCTATGTCGTCTATGTAGGACTAGACTCCACTCCGAGACTCTGCTACATAAACGCATGCAAGCAGCTGGCTCCTCACGTCACGTGGAGTCTTAGCTCAGTGGTAGAGCGAAGGATTGCAGATCCTTAGGTCGCCGGTTCGATCCCGGCAGGCTCCTTTCAGTGATCGGTTGGAATAATGTTCAACACTTACTTTTTGTAAATTTCATATTCCTTTTTTTGTAAAATAGAAAATAAAATTTTCCAGCGTTTGATTCCTATTTCTCTCTATTCATCTGTCTGTTCAACATAGTATGGTGGTGGTTTGGTATATGGATTAGAAGACATGTGCATCGGATATGAGTGTGATGACTTGGAAGCTTATATTTTCATCTTTAGCAAAAACACTATTGTTTTTCATGTCAGTCCCACTCAGACATAGAATCATATCGAGAAGAGTAGGGCCTTCTCTCACAAGAATCATGGCTACAACCCAAAGAGTAAAGGAAATATGAGCATAGTAAACAATATCTTTCTTCTCATTTTTAAGAAAACCCCCCTTTTTCAAAGTTCGACGATACGATAATAATTGTGATATCACAAGTGCGAGTAAATTTATAACTAAGAAACAGTACTTACAGCAAGTTACCTCTTAACTCCTAGGGACGCCTGACTTAATAGTCAAGGGGTGAGATACATATAAGCATAAGAGGGAAGTTTTAAGCCATGTTTCTAAAGTGAATACATACAGTAAGAAAGCCGAGTGTTTATTAGCCCTTCAGAAGTCATGTAATGGCTTTAGATAACTAGAGATAGAAATTAACACCATGGTAGTATGATACATAGTTGGGATAGTTTGAGTCAATGGAGGGATATTAAAAGGAGGATGAAATATCATATCAATGATTATGTCTGGTTATCAAGAGGAGTAATATGATTGGCTGTGTGACTACCTATCAATGAGTTCGATGGCAATTAAGCTACCATCTGCAAACGTGATAGTTAAAGGGATAGTATACACTCACATATAGTAGTTCCTTATCATTATACCCAACGTACTCCAAGCCATGGCTGCAGTCAACCCGCTAATCACAAAGGATTTGTCTTGTACGGCCCTATGGCCCTATGGCCCTAGTTGCTTCTTTGTTTGCAGAGCTAAGATTCGGCGTTTAGATGAGGGTGGCCTCAACGATACACCATTCCTAGGAAGGAATCCCGCAAACCTAAGGCTAAGACGAAGTATACTCCCCGATATCCGTGGTTGATCTGGTGCCATCGGGGATATTGTAGCGGGGTTAACAAGTCTTACATAGCAACAAGGGTTGTATGACGATGGAGCCCAATACGGCTAACCTTTCGGGGACCCCCGTTAATAGTAAATTACAATAAATCAAGGTCCCTCTATGTTGTTTAGCGGATAACCCATCTGCGTGCCTACATGTATGTATGTGGATCCTGAACAAGCGTCTTGTCGGCTAATCACCGATTGGTAGTTGGTATTTCAATCCACCGCCATGGCACCCGTGGTTGACTATAGTCGGAACTTAGGTATCATACGAGGTTATTCTCTTAGGTATCGATTTGCAGAGGACTCACCGCAGCGTTCTTTAGGATATCTAACTGCAACTAGGGCTGTATGTCTATATATCCAATTTCGAAATGATTGCCATTCCAAACACTTGGTTTGACAAAAAGGTCCAAGACGAGGTAGCGACCACAGAGCAGACTACCGCGCTTAAAGCTTACCTCGAGGATGATATAGAAGCCGAGGAAGCGGCAGTGCTTATTACTGCAGACGTGCACCAAGCAACCCTTGCTGACACAACCTCAGCCGAGGAAATAAACGAAGAGCTATGCAAGCTCTGGGGATTTTTCGTTGACGTCATCGTGGACTGGCCTTCGGAGCACATCAAGATTGCCAACCTTTTAGATACCATAAGCAAGCTTCCACATGTTGACCGCACCGGAAGAGACAGCTTGGAAATGTTCATGGATGTGACCGGGACGGTCAGAGCCTCTGAGCTGTGGCAGGATCTCCCTAGATTCTGGAACACGTTTAGCGATTACTGGCATTGTAAGTTGCTCAACATGTGTCTCTCCCATCGTACCGTTAACGGGTCTAAGCGTGTTCTAACGGTTGTTTAGCATTAGCTGGTTGGCCATACAGTCGACCTGAATCCAGCGCAGAAACGGCTGCTAACTCTGAATGGACTAATATCAACGCATTCGCCGCGATAGTCTTTATGGGCGGCCCGTTTGCGGACATGCCGCTTTTAGGAGATTGGGGCTGCTATGTTATAAAGAAGGCGTCGAGGTCGGATTACGAGCCTATAGAAGTGCATATTCCCTCGGCAGCTGTGTGGATGCGGTTTGCCGGCAAGGAACTATATCACTCTTACTCGACGCGGTACGAGGGACCTTTAATGCAGGAGAGGTGGGAGGGTTGGAGGAAGGAGTTTAAGAAGATTGCTAGGAACGATGTGGTAGATGTTGATATTAGAGAGGATGCGGCCGAATTGGCGGCGTTGATGGGGATGCCTTTATGAGCGGGTAAAGTCGGGAGATAGCATTCTATTGTTTGTACCTATATTAAGACGCGGAAGAAATAGGTTCCTATTCGTGTAATAATTATATGCTTTAATCTTGAAGCATCGTAAGTCTTATAGGAGAGGTCCCTATTTATATACCTGAGGAATATATACCTGAGGAAGGTACGGGGTATACAGCTCCTCCGTTGCTGCCACGCCGATGCGCTTAGGTTAGCGGTAGTTTCGGGTACCGGTAGGGCTAATCTCGGTATTAGTAGCGGGAGAAGCGGGTCCCTCCCGCTAACGATCGCGTGCTCGCTCGACATGCAAAAACCCTCTTTCCCTCACGAGTCATCGTCTTTATCGTTCGTTGTAAGTTAAGTCGACGATATTCCAACTACATATAAATACGGGTATTAGCGTGTGAAATCATCTACAGTGGTTATACTATACTGGGAAGACTAGGATATACTAGGATATACTAGTTACTAGGAATATCCGAACCTTGAGAGTTGTGGACTTCTGTACCTGCAAAATGGTTCGAAATCTCAAAAGCCCTCTTCCCCCAAACTTAGACATTGAAATTTCATTTCACCCCCTGACTTATACTCATAGGTCCATGCAGACGCATCGAATTTTGCCGAGGGCGTGACAAAAGAGCAGGCTTACACGCAAGTCCTCTTACAGGCCGAAGGTCTCTTTGACGGCCAAAGAAACTGGGTGCGTTCATGCCCTCAGAATTCAAGCACAAGACTCACACTTATACCTGTGCCTCCTTAGGTATGGTATGTGTTCGAGTATTTAATCAAAGTAGCGTTGCCAGCTTGGAGTTGAACTGACCGATGGCTCCTCGAAGCAATCTTGCCAACGCCGCATCCCTCTTATGGCACGCTTATAAGTCGTTGCCTCACCCAAGCAACCAGGTGAACTGGGCAGGTTAGTAAAATATTGAAATACGGAAGAATCCTCTGTGGCTTCTTAAACATAAGTACTCGAATTTACAGCTGCGCCATGGCAGGCTTCTACACCCTTGATCCGCAGGCGACAGCATCAAACCGCCAGCTCGTCCTAGGGCCGTTCCAGGGCAAAGTCGCCTGCCAAACCATCGCCTTCGGTAAAGGGGTATGCGGGACCGCCGCAGAAACCCAGATAACACAGCTGGTTCCCGACGTCGAGAAGTTCCCGGGGCACATCGCCTGCGACGGGGATAGCAAGAGTGAGATCGTGGTACCTGTTGTCGTCGGGAGCGGAGAAGCGAAGAAGTTGGTGGCTATCATAGACGTCGACTGTGCAGACTTCAACGGGTTCGACGACGTGGATAGGAAGTACTTGGAGCAGTTGGCAGAACTGCTGGGGAGGAGTTCTGATTGGTGAAGCGGGAATCATGAAGGTGGCTTATAGAACCATCACTTGTCTGGCCTGTCACAGGTTAGATTCCTTTCCGAGGCATTATTTTCGAGTCTTTAATATGCAGGCTATGGTGTAAATATGCCGCCCTGACGCGTCAGGAGTTGCCAAACCTGATTGAGACGATGTGTGGTTTGTTTTCATAAGGCGCATTTTAATCGCAGGGCAAATCAATCATATTTCATACGCACGCATTATTAATAGCATATCATGACTTATACGCCGAGTTGATGTAAATAGGAAATGGCTTTAATCACCTATGTAAATCACTTGGGCTCTATTCCTGCGCCCCAACTCGCCGAGTTCATAAACCCGATAAGTTCCCTTAATTCCAACCACATGCAACACTACTATCAACTTATGCACCAATCCAGCACCCCGCCCCGCACCGGACACCAATCCCGCGTCAAACCGAACCCACCTCCAACTCCGAAATCCCGATCTCGCAGCCGAGGAGCTTTATCCCACCTCGTCCTCGCAAATGGTGATGATGCCATAACCATGAGAAGCTTCCTACGGACCCTACGAGCCTTCTCCAACCCGACCGCATCTCATCCCCATCTACATCTACATCTACATCTCCATCTAGCACCCAATTCCCTATCCTTCGCAGCCCGCACCATGGCCACCTCCACCGCGCCCGTCCTCAAGCAACCTATCAAGCTAGCCTGCATCCAGCTCGCCAGCGGCCTCGACAAGACGGCCAACCTAGCCCACGCGCGGGACAAAGTCGTCGAGGCCGCACAACAAGGCGCCAAACTCATCGTACTACCAGAGTGCTTCAACTCGCCGTACGGCACCAACTACTTCCCGCAGTACGCCGAGACCCTGCTCCCCGGCCCCCCGTCCCCCGACCAATCCCCCTCGTACCACGCGCTCTCCGCCATGGCCGCCGAGACCGGCACCTTCCTCGTCGGCGGGTCCATTCCCGAGGCGGATCCGGACCCGGCCACGAACAAGTACTACAACACGTCTCTGGTATTCGGCCCGGACGGCGCGTTGCTAGCGAGCCACCGCAAGGTGCACCTCTTCGACATCGACATCCCGGGCAAGATCACCTTCCGCGAGAGCGAAGTGCTGTTCCCCGGGAACAAGGTGACCGTCGTGGATCTCCCGGGCTACGGCAAGATCGCCCTCGCCATATGCTACGACATCCGGTTTCCCGAGCTCGCGACCCTGGCCGCGCGCCGCGGCGCCTTCGCCCTGGTGTACCCCGGCGCCTTCAACCTGACCACCGGCCCTCTGCACTGGAAGCTGCTGGGCCAGGCGCGCGCCGTGGACAACCAGCTGTACGTGGCGCTGTGCAGTCCGGCGCGGGACGTCGGCGCGTCGTACCACGCGTACGGGCACAGTTTGATCGTGGATCCGATGGCGCGGGTGTTGGTCGAGGCGGCGGAGGAGGAGGACGTCGTGTATTGGGAGTTGGACGGCGAAGCGATCCAGGAAACTAGGCGGAATATCCCGCTCGCGACGCAGCGGCGGTTCGATGTTTACCCGGATATCAACGAGGGTAAGATTAGCTTTGAGGAGCCGAATCCGCCGAAGTGAGGTTGTGGTGGTGGAGGTGGTGGTGGTGGTGAGTAAGGAGCTGGTTTCGCTGGGTTAAGGGGGAAGGGGGAAGGGGGAAGGGGGAAGGGTTTAACGTGGGTTTAGATATATTTAACAGGTACCTAACCTATGTATCCAAGGTATGGGTCGTGGATTATAGAACCAAGCGCTGCCGCGGAAGACAGCGTAGACGCAAGGTCAAGTGTTTCTTGGGAGGCTATCTATCTTGTCTTATTGCCTCTGAAAACATGGGTACTACTGCTCTGCAAGTTCTAGTAGTTATTTTTACCAGTTATTGTAAATAATCTAGAGGTAGACGGCCCTTAATTAAGTATGATTTACGACAAAATCTGAGGTTATAGTTATGTCGTCGGCGTATTTGTATGACCGTCTAAAAGGGGGTCTTGTATATGTCTTAGATACCTATTAATTGGTCTTTCTCATAAACCTTGATCTTCTTTTGATGCGGTATATAACTTATTATCCTCTATCCCTTTCCATGATATATCATTCTAGTAGCATTCATGCCTATTCTATTACCAATTCCTCTCCTAGCAATTCACTTCGACGTAGGCAAGTTTTGCCCGAGAATAAAATGTACCGAGCACGCATTTCCGTAAAGCCATGAGCAATATGTGTTTTGCTGTATCAATCTACCTACCTTATTAAAAACGTTCACGTTCGCGTGGCGTCATACACGAATAAACGATACTCCTTTCGTCTTCACACGCTTGTGGATCGTCTCCGCCACCAAGTCATATGCGGCTTTCCGGCGTCGTATGAACACAATATGTCGTACGCCGCCCTCGCAATCATCTGGTGTTTGACCGAATAACCGTGCCGCGGTACCATCGGCTTGTGCCATAAAGCCACCAAGGAACGACGGTAGTTACCCCGAGGGTTGAAGTGTTGTAACACTTATAGATATCGTATGTGTGCATACCTAAGATATGTTGGGCATGTTGTGTATGTGTATCTTCAAGGCTGGACCCTGTAATTACCTCCCACACAGGGAAAAAGAGACACGCGAGCAACTTCCTTATCGGATACTAAGCTGGTAACGGTCGATCCTCAGGGTCTTCCTTACATGAAAGGCCATGCGTGGTTTATAGGTATGTCTCACTGAACTACCAACCCCTCCCTCTGAACCCCATCGATTCATAATCTATTGATCGATCGAAGTGCCACAGGCAGACCCCGAGAGACTGCCGAGAGCTCAAGCATCGATGGCGGCTAGTTACCTATACTAGGAGTGTGTGACACTATATATGGACGTTACTTTGTTGCGTAGCATAGGGGGAAGCCCGCGAGCAGGGTCAAGTGTCTGCGAACGGTACGTTTTTGTGAGATAAGGAATATTCTATCTCTATCACTCTTTTGGGGTTTCATATTGCGCGGCTGGTGAATACAACACGCGAAAAAGGCGATGGAAAAAAGAGCAAGGGAGACAAGAGTAACAAATAAATGACTGGTCACATCCCGCAGGTTCTTTTCCGAGCCGTTGCTATTCTGCATGTCAGCGTTGCTTTCCGATACCGCTCGGCATCCCATCTGAAATCTCGAGAATCTGTGATCTTGGGCGTCCTGCTCTCTTGGTCGTCGTTATGAAACACAACGACGGGGTTGCCAGTCTGACAGTTTGAGAATTTCTAGGGTTGCCTCACATTTTTTCCCCCTCCAGTCGCGGACCCCCACTCGGGAAAGGGAAGAGATTAGTATTACTTGCTTTTGCTTCTTATTTAGATGTCTTCACCCTTCTAGGTAGCCTCAATCGGCCCTGAAGATAGATCTAGCAGGTTACTAGTTACAAACTAGTATTTTTAGTATACGCCGAGATACGTCTAGACCACTTTGTTGGTGTTGGTTAAGTTGGTATTTGCTTGTAGGTACTAGGAGAAATAGGCATAAAGGCTTGGAGGTTCCTATTCCCGGAAGCTAATGCTAGGGATCCGGATGCGGCTCTACGTAGCCGGCATGCGCCTTGCAGATCACGAGGATGACCGGCTTGGCTCTTATTGGTACTGTAATTCGTCTGTATGCATTCTGCTGCTAGATTCTATAATGTAACTTAGAAGGCGTATTTCTCGCATTGTAAAATATAAGGGTGGGGGTTGAGATTCTGCGATTTGACTCTATTCAAAATATCGTGTGGGCAGATGGATGGCTGGTAGTATCGGTGGTGGTGGTATTATGTAGCAGTCGGTTTAGAAAATTTATTTTGCTTATGAGCCCCTGGTTAACTGGGATGGCTCCGTGTTTAGATGCGCTCTTTGCAGTAGTTCCAGCCGGGTTTGTTCGGTAAGGGCTCTCTCATCTTTTAATATTAGTGTGCAGTAGGCAAGACTCTCCATATATCTTTTCATTCTTTTTTTTTTTTTTTTTTTTTTTTTTTTTTTTTTTTTTTTTTTATTAAAAATAAAAAAAAACAAAAACCCCGTGTGAAAAAAAAACAGAAGGACACTAACCGAAACCGTTGGGGCAAATTGCAA